AAATCTAGAGTTCGATGGCCGTAAACTTGGAAGCCAGTAAAAAGCTTGTTTTTCCTTAACCGAAAACCATAAAATTGGTATTAAAACTTAAAGTCCAAATCATCGCGGAATTAACACAAAAAATAAAGGAGTACATACCATTTGGAAATTAAAGTCAATACCATCAAATCCTCAAGATTCCAAAGCCACCGAACCAACGAAGGAGGGAAGCAATATTGTTTATTTCGCATCTGACAAAATTGTGATATAAATACTTCGACATAAGACTATGTCGACGACTGCCTCCAATAGGATTCTTCCTCCAAAATGGTGGAATTTTCACACTAGCACGAGATTTGCCAATAATTGAAGATGCTGGAGCTAAAGAAACCCGGAACTCGACATTAAAATTTTCTTGGGTCTCAAATTAAATAAAAACGCAGGTTAATATTTTCTTAATTTTCAAAATTTACTTTTATTGAAATTCTAAGTTCTATAAACAATTATTTTTGACAAATAAAAAAAATCAATTATTTTACAAACATTGACGAACATGATAGGAAATATTTATATTTTGTAAAGTAAAAAATTTTTAAGTAATAAGTAATATATATCATTTGATACGGCCAAAACGTGCCTCATGGAAATAACGATTTTAGATTCTAAGTCTCTTTGGACCAAATCCGTTTCAGGACAGTCGATACAGCGATGACCGTCCGTCCGCCTTTCTGGCTAGTGTGCACAATAACTCTCAAAGTGAGAATCCGATTTGGTCCAAACTTGGTACATCGTAATATTATTATCAAACTTATATTGGGTTCGGAGATGGGCAATATGAGTCCACTGCTTCTGGTACCTCCCCACAAAAGATCGAAATTTTCAAAAAAAAAATATTTTACTGCATAGAAAGAGAAATTATGATCCGATTTTGCTCTAACTTTGCAAATATTAATATTATCATCAGTCGGTCCACTCCATTAAGTACCTCCCCCCAACATTTTGAATAATTATAATTGTAACTCTTATAAAATGTGATTTAAGAGTCCGATTGTCTTCATATTACACACATCACAAAATTTTCATAAACACAAGGTTTGGTGTGAAGATGCGAACCATTCCTTCTGGTACCTCCCCCAGAGAGAGTCAACGTTTTTAATAACCAAAACAATTAAAAAAACCGAACTAAGCATCCGGTTCTCTTCATATTTTTATTATCCCAAGGTCTGGTGTAAAGATGGGATATACTCCTTCTCCTTCTGGTACCTTCCGCACAAAGGGTCAAAGTATTGAATAACCACGAAACTTATAAAATGCGAAATTAACATCCGATTCCATTCAATCTTGGTACATCTCAATATTTTCATCAACACAAGATCTTTTATAAAGATGGTAGAAATCGGACCATTTCTTCTGGTACCACCCCACATAGGGTTCAAGATTCAAATACATACATCTGATACTTTTTATTTCAGTTTATTTTAGTATCTAGGGACTGCCGATAAAAGCAGACGAATAATCAATTTCTCAAATTTAAGGTAATCTAGCTTTGGTATACGCATTTGCGCCCATGTACCAGTACTTAATTAGAATACCATATTTCAGAATACATATTTAATTTTAAAAATTTTCGAAAAACCTCTATTATTATGAAGACCCCACTAAATCAGAACTTCCTAATAATATAATATTAATTACGTAACTGATGACACATTGTTCTGGATTTCATCGGGATTTTGAATTCAAAAGAACTGCAGACATTTGAAAAACAACTCTCATTCCTTTTTCCGACGAAGTAAAGCAGGTACATAAAGAATGGCGCGGCATAAATAAATCTGGTTTAGTATTTTCACATTAGGTTACTGGTTTCCCAGTCTGCTAATCATAGCTCTTCTCGCAAATAGAAGCCTTTGTAAACATTTTACACCCAGCGGCTGTACAAGCTGCAGAACATTTCACAGTTAAAGTCCAGGCGAAGAGACACAACATTTGTTGTTCCATGCGGCAGACATGCCAGGAGAGTAGCACAACCACTACCACTACGTCTGAATCGGAACATTCCACTACGAAGTAAATCTCACCTCGAATAACAAAAACAACATTAATCAAACAATTTGAACACATTTAGCTAACAACGTAAGAGTGTGAATAGCATCCAACATACTTCTGCACATATGGAGGTTTGTAACAGAGTTTGTGTGATTCTAGGACAACTAGGAGAACACTCATAAAAAATAATTTCGAATGGAAAACAATTGAATTTGAGTCTTTAAAGAATCTTTAAAATCTCAAAGGCTTAAATTGTCAAATTACGAACTATTAGGATGGTGTGTTGTAGGATAGTCTGCTCCACAAAAACAATTTTGATTAAAACCCAAATGATATTATTATTAAATCGTGCACCTTTGTCATTTTCAATACCGAAAAATTTGATAAAAGTTATGTACCTACTTTGTTTCGATCGGAAGCTATATTGATTTCTATTGTCGGATAAACAGACAGATAAAATTTTATGTTTATCAAGAATGGAGTCAAAAATACTTATTTCGAGCAGGCGCAAGCTGGTACAATTAATATATTTTGGTCCAAAGATAAACCATATTGAAATTTGAGATAATCGGTCAAGATTTAGACATAGCTCCCATATATATCTCCGATTTGCATTCTATTGTGCACCAAATGTGTAATATTCGCCCAAACCGGATAGTATTTGGCACATATAACCATATTGAGCCTAGAAATAAGTGTGTTAAATTTCTGTTCAGATATAGCTATAGCTCCCAAATATATTCTTCATCCGATTTGTTAAATTTCTCCTCCACAGCCATAATATGCACTCCATAACAAAAATATTTGGAAAAATATAAAAGGCTAAGGTATCATCTGCACACTTATACAGACAGATTTGATACAGAAACATCAAGGGTAACGTTACCCGGCTTGGATTTTTACTAATTATACCCCCCACCCCACAAAGTATACCACCCCAAAGAATATATATTCATGATCAGCATAAAATTCTATGTCGATTTAACGATGGCCGTCCGTCTGTGGAAATCACTCTAGCCTCCGAACTAATCGCAGTAGGTTGAAAATTTTTACTCAAATGTATATTATGTCTGCAGGACAGAACTGAAAATGGGCCATGTAGGTCCACGTTTTGGTATATTATAGTGTATTATACCACCCTATTTTTGGTATTTTTCGATTTTAGCTACATTATTCACCGGAATTGTTTGAAATTTCGCATTTGAAGTTCGTTACCGTGAAATTGGTAGCGAAACCCGACGGCAACGAAGTGGACGGAAAAAATCAGCAACATTAGCAGAAATGGTTCGAAAAGTAAAGAACCGACTTGATCGAAACCCTCGTCTCAGTGCCCGAAAAATGGCTCGTGAGCTAAACATAACACAATATTCCATTCGCCAAATATTGAAAAATGAGCTCGGGGTAAAGCCATTGAAATTCCAAAAAGTGCAAGAACTTACACCGCAACAGAAAGAAAATAGACTCAAAAGAGCTAAAGAGTTGATTCGCTTGGAAGGAAGTGTTGAACTGGATTCTCCGAAGAGAAAACATTCGTTGTGCAGCAGTTTTTAAACAAACAAAATGATAGTGTTTACATGCCAAAGAGGTCAGCTAAAAATGTGCACCTTCGGTTGGGCACCAGAACTCAAGCGCCGGCCATGGTGTGGGCCGCCATAACAGCCGATGGTCGCTTTCGGCTCGTATTAATCGACCGTGGCATCAGAATAAATGCCGAATATTAACGCGAAAACCTTCGACATTCCAACAGGACTCAGGACACGCCACCCAAGAATGGTTACAAAATGAGGTTTCTAAATTAATTTCCAGCGCACAATAGCCACCAAAATCTGCGGATACAAATCCGTTGGACTATTGTGTTTGGAGTATTTTGGAAAGCAAGGTTGGCACTAAAAAATACCAAAGTATCGATCAACTCAAGCAAGCGCTTCGCTGGGAATGGGCCAAAATATCGCAGAGCAACATGTATACATATATATATATACAGGGTGAAATAAAAAATGGTCATTATACCGCGCCTGGTACTATGCCTGCATTCTGCCAGAATTATTCAATATTTTTGATGCAATGAGTTGTTTTCATCTACTTCATATTTTCCTATTTTGATTCCCGGATTTCTCTTCATATTTTGATCCAAACTTTAACATTTCAATTCCATGACATAACTGGTTCATATCTTTAATGCTTACCCCGCTATTTACCTTTCTACTAATTATTGTGTTTAAATAAGATTGAACTAAATGTGATATGATATAACGTGGATAGTGTGAACATTTTACCACGCAACTAATAGAAATAATATTTTTTCGATATAGTCATGCCAGGCTCTTACAAACATTGTAGCGTCCAAATGGACTGAGATTAGGTAACTTCACACTTTAATGTGTGCTAAAAAACAAAAAACTTACGGAAACTACCACTTAAATGAGACTATACGAAGACGTGGACAACCTTGCGATATTTTTTGTCATAGGTTGTAGTACCCCTTACGAACTTCAAATACCAAATTTTAAACAATTTCGGTGAATAATGTTGCTAAAATCATCAAAATACCGAATATCGGGATGAACCGTTAATTAATTTTTCATGGGCTGTAGTACCCATTACGAACTTTAAACACGAAATTTGTTTGGGAGGTACCCATATATGGGGGCTGTACGAAAACGTGGACCGACATGGCCCATTAACGAGCTTAACATGCCTACTGGTAAATTATACATGCATGCAAAATTGTAGCCTTCTATCTCAATTCGTTCGAAAGATAGCGTGATTACAACAGACAGACGGACATCGCTAGAATTTTATGCTGATCCAGAATATATATATATATACTTTGTAGAGTCTATTATAAATATTTCGTGGAGTTACAAACGGAATGACAAAGTTAATATACCCTCCATAGAATGGTGGAGGGTATAAAAAATGTTCTCTTATAAATGTACACCAACATTTTCCTTCGAGTGTATCCCCAGACACACAAAATTCCAACTTTCAAAATTATCTGGAATATGAAATTTTTCTTTTCTTCGACATTTCGGACGTCGGAACACCTACAATGAAAACGATACGTAATAAGTCAAGTCGAAATCGTTTTATTTCATTTTCACGCCAAAAACAACAAAAACGCTCTCCAAATCAGAACTGACCCACAGGTGTTGTTGGGGCCAATACAACCACCACCACAGCAACAACGACAACTACAATGGAGGACATCGGATTAGCCGCAGCATTCGAAGTAAGTAAATAAATTGTTTAATGGCATTGCGAAAATCATTTTTTATCGTTTGGCAAGAAAGTATGAGCGAAAGAAATAAGTACAAGCTATTGTTGTCGGGATAAACGGGTTCTACGCCTGAAAATTTGTTACGGGCATTTAGCAAAACAAGAGGTGGTGGGGAGTTGAACCTATTGGAAAGAGAACAGATTCTATGTTGATATGACCCACAACAAATGCCCTCCTGAAGACAACATTTGTTAGCAGCACATCTAAAATATGAAAATGGACATGAATAAAATCTGTAGAACTGTTTGCTGGAAATGGAACACGTGGTCAGAAGGTAAGACTCCCCCACAAGAGACCGCATTTTTTAATGTAGTCACCGTAAGAGAAAAATCAATAGTTTAAAGAATCATTAGTCGAAACGAAGTTTCATGTCATTTATCAAATTTTTAACAAAATCATTTAAAGTTGAATTCATTAACCGCTAAACCCAGATCATTAGCAATAGAATATGTATCGGTGTCAACAGGATGTGCCTCATTTAACAAACATTTTTGTACAAAGGTATTCGTTATTCTCCCAGCCATATGGCTACAGAGGGTATATATCATTTGACAGGACTAAAACATGCCTTATCGAAATAACGGTTTAGACCTCAGGGCTTTTTGGACCACATCCGTTTCAGGATATTTAGAATCAATCTAGCGGTGCCCGTCTGTCTGTCTGGCTGGTACAATAACTCTCAAAAGATTTCGTATAAACTTGGTACATCGTAATATTATTATCAAACTTAGATCAAGTTCGGAGGTGGGACTTATCGATCCACTCCTTCTGGTACCTCCCCCACAAGTGTTCAAAATTTTAACAGAAAATATCTCGTAGAACGAGGAATGATCATCCAATTTTGTTCAAACTTTGGAAATCCTTATATTTATATCAGTGCTAGGTCAGGTAGGAAAATAGACAATATCGGCCCACCCCATCAATTATAACTCTTATAAAATGTGAACTAAGAGTCCGATTGTCACAAGGTTCAAGGCTCATAAAATGCGAAATGAGCATTTAAAAACTTTGAACTCAGCATATCCTAATATTTCTATAAAAAAGCTGGTGTGAAAATTGAATATATCGGGCAAGTCCTTCTGGTACCTCCCTAACAAAAAGTCACAATTCTGAATAATTATAATGATTATAAAATGAGAAAAAGAGTCCGATCGTTAGTCAAATTTCGCACATATCAACATCCCTTCCAAAAAGATATCTGGAATGAAGAACGGACCACTCCATCGTCCACAACGGGTCAAAATTGTTGAAACACTATGAAGCTTATAAAAAGCAAAAAAGGCATCCGATTCTCTTTAAATTTCATACATCCCAAAAATTCTACTAACAGATGCTGTGCTGTGAGTTATATCGGACCACTTCTTCCGGTACCTCCCCCACAAAGGGTTAACATTTGCAATAACTAAAATGTATGTATGTATGTTCATACATCCGAATATTTCTACTAACAAAATATCTGGTGTTAAGAATGAAGATTTAGGTCCACACCTTCTGATATAATTTAAAAAAAATAAAACGCTCATAAAATAATTTCCACAACAACCTCCATACCCCAATCCCAGATACAAACAGAGACCTCAGAACCAAATTTCGAGATTACAGCTCTCTCCCTTCATCATATACAAAATTAGTACCACTTAGTACATATCGAACACCGCAGACACCAACAGTGACATCTATATCAAATTTTAGGATTTAAGCTCTATTCCTTCACCCACTACCAGATTTAGTAATATTTAGTACTTTTCGAACAATAATGGGAGCATTTTGAAAAACAAAACGCTCTTAAATTGATTTCCAAAATAATTTCTCAGTCCCAGATACAAACATAGGCCTCGATATAAAATTTCAGGAAATCAGCTCTATTCCTTCAACCAATACACAATTTAGTACAATTTAATACTTTTCGTACAAACGTTGGATATATTTCCAAAACCAGTTCCTTTCAACCCTATCCCTTCGCCCAATACCAAATGAAGTACTATTTAGTACTTTCCCTAGAATAATAGAACATATTTTCAAAATTACCTCCACATGTCAACCCCAGATATTAACACAGAATTCAATAACAAATTTCGGTATTTCAGCCCTATCCCTTCATCCAATACTTCTATTTCTTCTTATCCCATATACCAACATAGGCCTGAATATCAAATTTCTGGATTCCAGCTCTATCCCTTCTCCCAATGCCTAATTTAGTACCACTTAGTACTTTTCGTACAATTTTAGTATACATTTCCAAAACTATGTCCATATCTACCTCCGCATGAAATGGTTAAAATTTTGGCTAATAATTGTTAGCATAAATTGGAAATAAATTTTCGATTTTCTTTAACATATCTATATTTCAATATGTTTATCAATATTAGATAAAGTGGAATACTTCGGTCCACAGTATCTGGTACACGCTCATTTTATCATTTTCCAAAAAAATATTACATATCTCATATTAAGTGCCTTCACTAGTAGTCGATATACAGGATGAGATCAAAAAACGGCAACAAAGTCAAACGCCATAATTTTTAATTTTTTTTTTTAAATTTTTGAATGAAAGCAAAAAATGTCGGAAATAGCATCAAATTTAAGAATAAGTTTAGATTTGTTCGAATTGGTCACCTTTAGCACGAATTGTGGCCTTGGAACGGCCAATGAAACCGTCACACGCTGCCCGAATGTTGCTCTGCGGTATTTTGCCCGGCGAAGCGCTTGTTTGAGGTGATCGACACTTTGGTATTTTTAAGTGCCGACCTTGCTTTCCAAAATGCAACAGGCACAATAGTCCAACGGATTGGTATTCGATGATTTTGGTGCCATTGTGCGCTGGAAATGATGCGAGGAACCTCATTTCGTAGCCATTCTTGGGTGGCGCGTGCTGAGTGCGATGCTCCTGAGTCCTGTTCAAAATGTCCAAGGTCTGCGGTCAAAATGTTTGCGTGCCCAATGCTTTAATACACCCTCCAGAATATTTTCGAGATAATATTCGCCATTTATTCTGATGCCACGGTCGATTAATACGAGCGGAGAGCGACCATCGACGTTATGGCGGCCCACACCAGCACCATGGCCGGAGCTTGAGTTCTGGTGGTCAACCGAAGGAGCACATATTCAGCTGACCTCTTTGGCAAGTAAACACGATCATATTGTTTGTTTACAGACTGCTGCACAACAAATGTTTTTTCATCGGAGAAAACCAAATTCGGCAGTTCTCCACTTTCGGCCAAGCGAAGCAACTCTTTACCTCTTTAGGATCTATTTTCTTTCTGCGGTGTAAGTTCTTGCACTTTTTGGAATTTCAATGGCTTTACTCCGAGCTCATTTTTCAATATTTGCCGAATGGAATGTTGCGATATGCACAACTCACGAGCCATTTTTCAGCCACTGGATGCGGGTTTCGATCAAGTCGCTTCTTTACTTTTCGAATTATTTCTGCTGATGTTGCTGTTTTCTTCCGCCCACTTTCTTGACGTCGGTCTACGCTACCAGTATCACGGTAACGAGCGATGGTACGAGACATAAAAGATTTATTCACATTTAAATGCTGGAGTGTTCCAACGATAGCTACTTGTGGTTTTGCAGCCAAATATAAAGAAATCACACTATCACGCTTGAATTCCATCACGAATAACTTTTTTTCTGGAAATTCTCAGCAAAATGTTTTTGTTCGCTTGTAAACAATCATTTTAACAGCTGTTGGACGAGTGGCTTAGCAATGGCAACAGTCTGAAGCTGTTTGCAGTTTTTTCATCTCACCCTGTATATTCCAATATTTTCATCAGTATCAAATGAAGAAGAATACTTCGGTCCACTATGTTTACTACCTCTCGCTCTTTTTATCATTTTCCAAAAATTAACTCATATAAAAGGAAGGAAGCAACCAATCGGACTCGTTCTTATGTTTATATCTCACCTATGTCATATACGAAATGGACAATGGGCCCACTCCTTCGAAATCTTCCCCATAAATACCAAGAATTTGAAAACTCACAACGCAAGTCGAAACATATTTAAATAAACGGACATTGGCCGAGGGTATACAAGTTTCGGCAAATCCGAATAATACTTTTAAAATTGTTTTACATTACATTTTCGTATTACCTACCCTTTCGCCTAGTTTTTATATGAACAATTTTTTTATTGTTGTTTGAGTTCTTTGATTATATTAGCCCCCATCCAGAATGTTCAAGAATCTATCACTTTTGCCCATACCTGCAAACTACTAAAAGTTGTAGGTAATGTTGAGAGGAAGAAACATGGCTTGACAGATTTAACCTCTACACAATTATTTCGAAAAGATAAGCAGATATATGAAGGAAAGGTAGATCGACTCCAGAAGTTCTGAAAGGAATTTTGCCCATTTATCTACTCTTCAAGAAAACTATTTTTTTTTTTTTTGAAAATTGTTTTCATTCACCCGAAATAATTCACATTGTTAATTATACTAATTAATGAAATTATTTATTGGGAATACAAATACATTTCATCTCACTAATTGTATTTGTGTTTCCTATCTATCATCTTCATTGAGAGACAACGAAAAATCTCCAACTTGATAGAGTGAATTATTCACTGTAGATATCCTTTCTTTCCGGTATACCTGCTGCCTGTTTTCATCGCCCACTGTGATTTGCAATGCCTTCAATACTGAAATCAATGTATTCCTATTCGATCATGGAAAATATCCTTTGAGACAATTGCCCTCTCCCACAGAGATAATACACCTGTTGTGCATTTTTTCCTTATCAACTAGTGTTTGCCAAATATTTGGAATCGTTGTCTTTGTTGTTGGCAGTTTCCATTCATTATCACTTGACTGTGACAAATCGAGGCCTTTAATGGATGTTTTCTTGGCCATGAATGGATGTCCAAAAAGATAAGATTTAAACAAAAAGTTGAAAGTAATTACTGTCTTGTTTCGATATGGTTCAAAGAATCTTATCCTTGGGGTTTGAATATTCTAAATACCTAGCTGCTTTGCCCAATGTTTATCCTTTCGGTTATACCAACAAACATGTTGCATTCTGGCGCCACTTGTGGCCTTCTAAATAGGATATTTTTCATTTCATGGATATTGTGACCAAGACATTACAAATCACACTGTGCAGCATCAACAACAACAGTCATTAACGAAAGTCCTTGAGATTCTTCATAAATCAAACTTTTGAGTACTGTCGAGATGAGTTTTTTGCCCAACACCACATAGGGGTAAGGGTATTATGTCTTTGTGAATTTGTTGTAACAGGGAGAAAGAGTGCACCAAATGGCCAATATTTCCGA